AGCACACGGCGAGTATTGTGTATCTAAACACGTCTAAACGTAGAAAAGGTACAGGAAGACTGCGGTCTTGTAACCTCACGGAACTGCCATCGTGGATGTGGTCCGTCAGGGACCCGAACGCTGCTGTGCAGCAAAGCTGTACTGTAATACCCAGAACAATGTCTGCTAGGAAAACTCTCTCTGTGTCTGTCTGTCTGTCTGTCTCTCTGCCTCCAGTGGCAAAAGGTGCACCTCCACTTCCCACTCCCCTAATCAGGCTCCCGTCTGGCCACCTTGACGGTGGGAAGGGGAGTCTGAGTCCGGGGAAGCAGGAACGGTTCTGTCTCCCACCCTCCATAGCCGGATGACCGATGCCTGGGTCTGGGGTGGCCCATCCACACCCACGCCTCCTTTTTGGTCTTTTGGAGCATTTCTAGCGGAATTTTCCGATCCCGAAGAGGGAAGCTCATCTGAAGGATGGTGAATTGACAAACGTGGGAGCTTAGAGGGCATCTCTGTCCCCCTGGGTTTTCCTGCAGGAAACCATCCCTCCTCCCTCCCAGTCCCAGAGTCCTTCCGGGCCGACTCCTCCTTGGGCTGCAGGAGGTGGCACAGGCCTGGCCCGTCAGGGCACCCTGAGCCTGGCTGGGATGAGCAAGGGACAGAGGAAGGATTCATGAGACCCACTCTGGGTCTCTTGCTGGAGCTGTTGGTAAGAGAAGGGAGACGGAGAGCTGATGCCTGACATTGTCTGAGTTCCCAGAGCCAGCACCTGCCGGCTGTTTCTGTGAGGTGAGCCAAGAAGTTCCAAATATTGCATGGGACATACTTCCACTAAAAAATGCATTGTTTATCTGAGATTCAAATGTAATTGCGCATGTTGTATTCTTTGCTAAATTTGGCAACCGTGATGCAGGGAACGCAGATGCAGCAAGAGGGAAAGGTCACCTTCTTATAAGGAGCAGAGGAAGGGTGAGGATGGAGTGGGTGCTAGGATGTGGCATCAAAAAACAATATTCCCCATCCCCGTCTCCTGCCAGAATGCCTGCATCATCCACTGTTGCTTATCACAGCTCTGCAGCTGCCCGGTCAAGTGAAAATGTGGCCTCGAGAGAAAACATCAACCATCAACACTCTAGCATGAATCAGTTTGCAAAGTCGTGCATTTACTCATTATTGTCAACTGTACTGAAGGGAGGAGACTCCAGAGAGGGAGGTGCTGCTAGCTCTTTTCCTTCACTTATTCCCCGAAGCGTTTGTCTTCAGAGCACAAAGGAATTTGGACTGGTCCCCTGCAGTTCTCACCCTGGGCTGCACATCAGAGCCACAGAGGAGCCTGCCCCACCCATTACGATTCAAGCAGAACCCTCAGGAGCAGGAACCAGCCATCGTAATTTTCCCATAATTCTGATGCGCAGCCAAATCTGAGAACCAGTGGAAATAACAGTTCAGGGCTGGCTGTTCCATCCTCGGTGAGGGCTGCTGTGGCTGGCAGCCTGCTCTGTGCCAGGCACCTGGGGGACATAAATTCAGTGGGCTCTTCTAACCATCCTGCAAGGTAGACATTGCTAATCTCATTGTCTCCAGGAAGATGCAGGCTCAGAGAGGTGATGTGACTTTCTCAAGGTGACACAGCAAGTTAAGGAGCCCTGAGCACCACCACCCCCAACCCTTGCACTGTGCCGCTTCCAGGCTGTGCCACTTTGGACGGAGCCTGCCCTCTGGCCCTGCCCTCCCCCATCAGTAAACGAGAGGCAGAGATGCTGTGTCCACGGGCCTCACCCAGCCCTGCCAGCCCAGCCCTCAAATCAGCGGGTCACGTGGGGGGCCTCAAAGAGTGAGGCAGCAGGGAACAGACCAAGAGCCAACTCTAGGTGTCCTGGGCATGCCGTCAGTGAGAATGACGAGTGGGGGACCCCTTTGTCGGGGGGGCTCCACGTGAAATGGCCTTCGTGGACTTGAGCAACAGTCGTAACCATGCCAGCTGCCGGCGTGACGCCCGGAACTAGTGCGTTAACTGGACACCAGTGAGCGCCGGGCCTGTGCTGCGTGCTCCATTCCTTGTCCCCATCCTCACGGGAACACTGGCAGGGAGGGAGGGGCCACTAGGGTCCCACTTGACTGATGAGGAGGCGGAGGCTCCGGTAAAGTAATGATTTGCTCTGGAGTGAACAGCTCGTGAGTCGGGGTCTGGTGAGCCCCCGGGCGGTCCCCCGCTCCACCTTCACGCATAGCCAAAGACACTTTTTTGACCTGGACAGCTTAAGGAGCAAACGCTTGTGGTTTTTATGTTGTCAGAGACCAGGGTTTATTTTGTTTCTTTTCTGTTTTTTTTTTTTTTTAAATAATGGAGAGTGCCAGTGGGTCTTGAATGGCTCTGCCTCCGCAAAGAGGTTGTTAGAATACTGTCGAAGGAACCGCGGAGCTAAAGCCAGCCCTATTTTGTTTTTAACATTTTATTTTGAAATAACGATAAATTCCCAGGAAGCTGCAAAGAGAGCACTGAGAGGCGCTGTGTCCTTCCATCCCATTTCCCCCAATGGTGACGCCTTTTGTAACTAGAGTGTGGCCGATGTCTGTTGAATGCCTGCACATAGTTGTTGTTTTATCACACGTGTAGATTTGATGAAACCGCCTCTGCAGTCAAGACGCAGAGCCGACCACCACCACAAAGATCTCTCTGCTGCCCCTTTGCAGCCACGCCCACCCAACCCCCATCCCTCCTCTAGCCCTCCAGGCAGCCACTGACTTAGAATGAGGAAGGTTGATGTGCATTCGGGTACCAACCGCACCTACTTTTATGTGCACTTAGGATGTGGACCCACTGCCCGGTATCATCGCCACTTCTTCCTTGCGGACAGAGCCCCCAGGGATCAGGGTGGCAGTGTGACCCGCTTTATACTTCCTTCCCGGCCTGCCTTGCTGCAGGGGGTGGCCCTGTGATGCACGCCAGGCTCATAGGATGTAACGGGAATTTTCTGGAAGGCTGTAAGGAAGCTTTGGCTTTCCTGAGGCGAGGCCAGCACCAACATGATTCCCTCTCCCTGTGTTAGCGCGGATAGTTCAGCTGAGGCCACAGCATGATGGGGACCCCAAGGGAATCACAGAGAACACAGCCCGGTGTCTCCGGGCCACGAGCAAACATCAGTCCCTCTGGATTTGTTACTGGACAAAGGAAGCCCTCTTTGTCGGGCCAGTGGCTCTCTGTCAGGGATGACTTGCTCCAAAGGACACAGGACAACTGCAGATACCTTTGGTTGTCAAACTAGGGGGTCGCTACTGGCATCTAATGGGTAGAGGCTGCCAAACAATGCTCAGGAACACCTGTCTCCCAGTAAAGAGTTCCGTGGCTCCAAGTGTCAACTGTGCTGAGGGGGAGATACTCTGGTTTAGGGCACTGTGGGTTGGCATTTCTGTTCCCTGCAGTTGGAAACGCTCCCGGCAGAGGCTGCGCAACCACTGAGATTCCCAGCAGAGGTGGTATGAGGCAGCCAAGCTCCCAGGGATGAAGACAGGGCAGCAGGGACAACCCAGGTCCCGACACTAGCTGGTTATCCAAAATCCCTGTTTAACTAACCTGCCCAAGTCTCAGCTGGGAGGGCTGAGGGCTGTCGCAAAGATTAAGACCAGGGTGCTATGGCATCAAGGGCCAACATGCAGAAAGTGTTTCCTCCTGGGGCAGTGTTGCTGTCCCTCCCCCCTGCCCCCTGCCCCCCATTCCAACTGGATAACAGAATGCAACTTTTGATACAAACAAACTCCATTTTAATGTAGAAAACAAACCTCACTTACATACATAAATATAATCTGGGGGCATAAATAATGTAAGAAAATAAGAGATGTACATATCAAAATAAATTACTCATAAATATCGTGTTGGAACTAAGTGCTGGGGAAAGGGCTTGGAATCTCCCCTGCTGCTGCCCCAGGTCACAGGCAAGACTCGGTTGGGGCTTTCAGATCTTTCCTCTCTTGGTTTGTGAATGGTCTGTGCAGGCTGACACAGGGCGGGAGCCCAGGAAGCCCCAGTCTAGAGGATGGCAGGTGAGGAGGGGCAGAAAGGGCTAGGTCGGCTGGGGAAATGGAGGCAGGTGACCCACAGGACAGCGATCAGTTCTCAGGTCAGTATCCACAGGCCAAGGGGAGGTGTGGGAGAATTAGGAATGGGTGTAGGCCTGTGATGGGCAGGTGACATCCATATGACCTGGGCAGATCTGATGCCCTGGACTCCCCAGAGTGACTGGGGGGCCAGGATGAGCTGCTGGAATTGGCCATTGGCTGTCCCTCTGAGTTGGGGGTGGTGTTGGTAGCTCCGCCATCCCCCTTAGAGGAACCAGCCCTGACCCCGGCAAGCATCAGCTGTGTGCAGAGTGCTGGTCCTCAAGAAGAGGAAGGAAAGTAGGTGAACCGACTTATCTGCCTCGGGAGATTATCCATCCCAGAATCAGCCTCAGGGGGAGTTCTCAAGATTTCCTGGAGCTGGAGGTGGCTCTGGGCTTCCCCTGCTCCTGAAGCCTGGTGGCTGTGCCTGCTCCCGGTCAGTTCTGGCCTGGAGGGGTCCTTGGACAGTCCTTGGAGTTGAGATCTAGATCAATCTCACATGGGCTCACATTTACCTGCTGTTTCACAGAGCTGATCACCTGTACAGGATTGAAAAGGCCTGCTTGTCTCCTGGCTGTCCCTGCTGGAAATGATGAGAAAAAATTATAGAGAATTTCAGCTTGACAAAAGAATTTTTCCAAAGGGAGCAAGTTCCCCATCGGTGGAAGTATTCAAGCAGAACCAGGGTAGCACAGCAACTTGTCCAGCAATCTCAACCTTGAGGGAGCAGGATAGGGGGCTTGGGTAACAGCTGGGCAGGTGGAGGGCTTACATTTTATGATCATACAAGTCTATCTGCTAGAAACTGGCACAGCCATTGTAAAACTCTGAATATGTACAAACTTCTAAGTGTTTCTTCCTAAAGCTAACCAGAACACGGACTCAGGACTGTTCCTGAAGAAGCACAGCCAGAGCCTCAGTCATTTCTGAAAGCTGGGACTCTTCACCACCCCGAGTCTGGTGGCCATCCCAAACGGGTCCATGCTGTCAGTCTCCAGGGGCGAAGCAAACATGTCGGATTCCAAGTGGTCCCTGAGGTCCCCGGTCTCTGCTGGGGTCACAGGCAGCATGGGCAGGAAGTGAGACAGTGGCAGGAAGCCCCTGCCCTTGTACAGCTGCCTCTGTCTGGCGCTGCTCAGAGACACGGGCAGGTGGTGCTTCTCAGACCGGTACACGTTGTAGCCATCCGGGCGGATCTCCTCCTCGAAGGCACAGTCTTCCTCCGAGTACTGAGGCTGCAGAGGAGACAGGCAGCTCGTGAGCACTGGCGGGTAGGGGACCTCAGCTCTGACACTATCAGCGGTGGAGGAAAAGCAGGCGCATGCCCGGGCGTCTGTTACATGCTGTCCCTGGTGGCCACCATCAGTGGTCTTCCATGAGTATTATGGGCGTGCTTTTTTTTTTTGAGACAGAGTCTCACTTTGTTGCCCGGGCTAGAGTGAGTGCCGTGGCGTCAGCCTAGCTCACAGCAACCTCACACTCCTGGGCTCAAGCAATCCTCCTGCCTCAGCCTCCCAAGTAGCTGGGACTACAGGGATGCACCACCATGCCCGGCTAATTTTTTTTATATATATATTTTTAGCTGTCCAATTAATTTCTTTCTATTTTTGGTAGAGTATGGGTGTGCTTTTATATACTTCCTTAGATATACACTTTATATAAGCATATATACATTTATATGTTATATAAGTAGATGTAATATATAATGTACTTTAAATGTAAGTATATACTATATACACATTATAATAATATATAAAATGTTATATACCTTTATAAATACTTTACAATTTGTATATATACACACATGTATACTTCAGGTATATATTTCATACATGTATATTTCATGTATATACCTAATACTATATATACGCTTTATATAGATCCTTAATATTTTCCACTAAATCACCTCACTTTTTAAACCCAATCTTGTCCTAACTAATAATATCCATAAGAATCATAGGCGACATACATGTGTTTCTCTCACCCTTTACATTAGATTTATAGCTACCGACATTAAAAAAAGTTCACTGTATTCCACTGGCACTTTGGGAAACACTGATGAACCACGTTATCATTTTAGGGTCAGTCTTTTCATTAAGAATTACATGTAATCCGATGGGGGCCCAGACTGAAGCATGTACTCCCCATCTGGCTCAGAAGGAGCTGTGAGCCTTTATAATTCTAGGGGTTTTTTGCCAGATGCAGCTGGAGGAAACATCAGCCCCTACCAAGAGCCTCCCAGCAGCAGGCTCGGCAGCCCCTCCCCCACGCCAGGACCGCGCCTGCACCCAGCGGGGGGCCGGAAGTGTGTGCTCAGGGAAGCTGGTCCCTGGTCCCAGTCGCCGGTCTTAGAACATACATAGTCCACAGGGTAGAGAGGTGCCAGTGGGCAAACGCTGCCCCAGGCCAGTAAGTGTCATTACCCCTTGGAGACACAGGACATACTAAGGCAAGGACCGCGAGGGCTGGGCCGTAAACAGCTGCAGAATGAACTCAGCCTGATTTCTGCACAAGTCTACAAAGGTCACTGAACTGCAGGTGGGTGAGCGAAGTCTGATAAGCCGCGATAAGAGTAATTGCGGCAACCCACAGCTCCCGCCGAGCCCGCAGGCTGGGGCCGAGCGCCGGCGGCCGGCATTTCGCCTGAATTTCCAAAAACTGCAAATTGATAGATAAACAAATAAGGGACGTAAAACCTGACGGCTTGAGAGACTTGTATCTACTCGCTCGTTCTTCGGAAGAAATTAGTATTACTCATTCTCCAAACAGAAAATGAAATAATTTCGAGTTTCTAGAACAATGCGGAATTTCGATTAAAAAAAGAAAAAAGGAAACAAAAAATCCTCCATTTGTGCTAGGCTGTGCGCAGGGGACCAAGAGGCACAAAGGATTTTAGGTGACACCCCCCACATACCCTCAGTGTGGATTTGGGCAGACGGTGGGTTGGACCCAATGTCCCCGCCGGCCTCCCGCTGTTAGTCCTCCCCCACCTCCAGTCTTAAGTAAATGTCAAAATAACAAAAGTCGCAAGGGTGGTTTGGAAGCAGCTTTGGGTGTCAGCTTTCAGCGTCCCGACCACCTCCTGTCTGCCACCCTTTCAGGCAGAACTCGGCCACAAGCCACAAGACTTGGACACCGGTACTCTAAGTAAACGGAATATGTGGACCTCAGAGGCACAAAACAATTTTGAGACTCTAAAATTCTTTGTCCCGCGGTTCACAAAGGGGCCAGTTGGGCCGGGGGAGGCCCCGCCTCTGCATCTTCTCCGGGGTGGGGGCACCGGGCAGGCCGCTGCTGCTCCATTGGATCCCCCGGCTGCGTGGGAGGCCCCGCCGGGACCTCACACAGCCTCCGCTGCGCGCAGGGCGCGGGAGGGGCGGAGGCTGGTCCTTTGAACGCCCAGCCTTTGTTCCCGGCGACAAGAGCCCCAGCACTCGCACACTTCCGGCCCGACACTGCGGTGGTTACCTGGGCCTGCTCAGCCCGCCCCCAGCACCCCCAACAAAAAGCGTCTCCAGGGCAGGTGAGCCCAGCAGGAGGAAAAGCACGCCGCTGGAACATAATCCCAACGCATCTGCATCTTAAACCACACCATTCCCTGGCAGATAGAAATTAATTTTTTAAAAATCTCCCCAATCCCAAATGCGCTGTTCTCTTTTCTGACTTATTTGATAATCGATTTTTTTTAAGAAAAAGATAGAAGTTACGGATATGCCCTCTTTTTTTTCTTTTTCTTTCTTTTTTTCTTATCCTTGAGGGAGGGAAACGGAGGGGAGGACCACACACGCGCAGGCCGAGGCTGAAAAGGCCCGAGGTGGGTTTTCCTGTTTAATATCAAAGGGACTCAAATAATGGGTTTCCTCGCCCGGCTGGGTCGGTCCTTGGCTCAACTGGAAATGCAAAGGCGGCTCTCACCATTCCCCAGCAACTGGCACGGACCATAAATTTCCGTAGGAAATAGTCGGACATTATCTTAATCGGTCCTGGCAATCTGTCCCTCGAAGTTCCGGGCCCCGGGCGGAGGAGGCGAGGAAACCCTGGATTCGATCCAGCTCGCCCTTCTCCCCTAGAAGCCCCCGCCTGGGGACAAGCGTAGGTCCTGCGCCCCGGGGCATCCCGCCCCGTGAGGACACTTACCAGTCCCTGCATCCTGCCGTCGGCGCCCATGCAGAGGTACCGTACGCTGTGCACGCCCTTGATGGCCACGGTCCGAAGAGCGACTGCCCTGATCTCCAACAAACCTGGGCGCAAGGGAAGCAAGAAGCTGCATCCCGGCCCTGCAGGGCCCGCAACACGTGGATGTGGTCGGTCCACGCGCCTGTGCCCCTCCCTAGCTTCCCGCGCTATCTGGGGGCCAAGACAGGGATTGTAACGCCACGGTGCCAAAACCTAGGGTTCCCGGGAGTTGAGGGGTCTGCGGGAGCCGAGGGAGGGCAAAGGAAGGAGGGACGCAGAGGTGGGCGCGGGCGACCAGGCTGGTGGGGGGCCCGGCTGGCACTCACTATGTGCGCTCTGGCCCCGTGCGCAGTCCACGGAGCCGTCGGCGCGGATGCGCAGGAAGCAGCTGGAGAGGCCGTGGGGGCCGGCGGTGTACAGGTGCCTCAGGCGTATGGGCTCGCCCCAGCCGTAGTGCACGTGCGGGCCCGCGTCCGAGAAGGCCAGCGGGCGCCCGGCCGCGGTCAACCAGAGGCCGGCCAGGACCAGGGCGCGGGCCACCACACAACTGCTTAGCCCGCTCAGCATGGCAGCTCCGTGGGGCTCTCGGCGCGGCTCCGGCGGCAGGGTTGCTGGAGGCTGGGCGGCGACTGGGATGCGCTGCGGGGCTGTGTGTGCTGAATTGGGGTGGCCGTGGGCCTCGAGCTAGCAGTGCAGTCCGGGCACCTCGGGCGCGCAGCGCTCCTGCTCCGACGGCGCGGCGGCTCCCGGCCAGCAGCTTTATAAAGCGCCTTACTGGACCCGCGGGTAGGTGCCCGGGACACCCGAGCATTTCTTATCAGGATTGCATCAAGCCTCCGCCCCCCGCACACACCCACTCACACCCCGCCTCCGGCCCCAGCCCCCTTCCCCGGCCCCGGCTGGAGGGCGGTAGATCCTCGTCCCTGCCCGGGTGACCCCGCCCAGGCCGTTCGGATCTGGGGGAGGAGGAGGCCCCGCTTTGCGGCAGGGTTTTGGGGAACTCCTCTGCGCGGTGCAGCGGCCCGGTAGTTTTTGGCTGGGCGAGTTAGATTTTGTAAACCAAAATAGTAGACAACGAGAGCCCCTGTGCGAGACCACAGGCTCCCCGGGGGATGCGCTTGGCGTGGGGCACTACCAGGGCAGGGATCAGGAACCCCAGGACCAGAGCTTGGGGGGCACTGAGTTTTGCCTCCTTCATCCCTCGCCTCGGCTTTGGGGCCCTTCCACTTAAAAGACCACACGCGCCCCCTCCCCCGACATTCCCAACCCAGCAAATCTCCAGACGTCAAAGCCGTCCATTAGAATTTCCCCCTGCAGTTCGGACCTTTTCAGGTCCTCCCGGCTTAATCTTCTTGCGTTCCCGCCCCCGGCCCCTTTTATCCGTGCAAATTGCCCCCGACGGGGGGCCGGGCGCGATCTCCGCCGGTGAGGAACAATGGGCGCGTCTGCAGCGGGGCGGGCGCCAGGTGGCGCTCCCAGGCCGCGCCGCGAGTGCTCTGCGCTCTCCCCGGGCCCGCGGCGGTGCCCGGAGGTGCGACCTGAAGGGTGGTCCTCGGGAAGGTGATTTTCGGGTGGGCCGGGCTGGCAAGCTGTGGGATTGGAGGCGGGGGCGCGGGGAGGCAGGACTGTGCGAGGCGCCTGTGTCGGCGGCGCGGTCCTGGGGGCCTGAGCGCGGAGGGCCGGGGAGGCCGCGAGCGCCCTACCGGGTGCGCAGGGCGCGAGGAGCAGTGACTTGCGGTCCTGGCGCCAAGTGGAAAAACGGAGAAGTGGCTCCTGCGAATAAAGAAAACGACATCTAGAGAATCCCCTGGCGGGGACGAAGGGGTCCGCCTAGGGGACTTTGGCTTAACCCTGATTCTTTCTCATTAGTGCTCCAACCCCCCGGCTCCTGGGCGTGGGGCTGCAGGAGTCGCGTTTTTGGAAGAGCAGCGCTGGCCCAGCGCATGGTGACGGGGAGGGCAAGCGGCGGAGACGCCGCAGAGAAATGCCAGGCCTAATGAATTTCAATGAGTAAAGGCCACATTCATGCCTCAGTCAGTGACTGGCGTTAATGACGGAGCGCGCAGAAAATGTCACCAGGAAAGTCTTTACAAAAAGACATCATCCCGAAGGCTTTCTAGACCAGGGTCCCCCACGCTGTGTGTCTTGGTTCAGAAAGCCGTGGCTTCTGTTAAATCTAATTACTTCCCCCCGGTGGCTTTAAATCGACGGCGGCTCCTATTAAACTTAATTACCCTCCCCTGCAGCTTTCGTTTTAAAGATCCTGATAAATGCTTGATAAATGTGGGGGCTTGCGGAGGATGGCAGCCGCCGCATCGGGGGACATGACCCGAATCGGACCGGTGGAGGGGGGAGATGGCGGTCTCCGGTTCCACTCCCAGCCCTCTGCTATTCCTTCTTGGGACCTGCGGGAAGGAGGGTGACCCGTGAGATCCGGGAGCTCAGGGAAACGATAAAGGTGGAGGCTGCCCTGCCTGGAGGGCTTCCTGTGCCCCAGGGCGCACACGGTGGTAGGCACTTTATGGGTGTGGTGAGCGAAAATCTCCTCAAGAACCCCCCCCCCCGCCCAAACAGCTGGGAAACGGTGCCCCAGAGAAGTGGCGGAGTGAGGCAAGGCCGCCAACCTGTGAGTGGTGAAGCTGGAATCTGAACCCAGACAGTTGGGCCTGTAGGTCCAGGCTGTGTTGCGTCTCAGGAGGCAGTCTGGTCCGGTCTGGGGGAACGGGCTCCGGGTCAGACCCTCCAGGGGATGCACCAGCACCTGGCCACTCCCTGGGCAGGTCATAAACTGCTGGATCGGTTGCCTCCCCAATTTGCTCTCAGGATTGTCCGAGGGTCACATGGAAGCGTGGACACAAAGAGCCAGGGATGTAGTTCATAAGATAATGACAGCCAGTCCTGAGGGTCAGCTAGGTACCGGCAGGCATCTCGTAGTCACAGCAATGCTCTGGGAGTTCAGGTGATTGATGCTGCTGCGTGTGAGGAGTGGGAGGCTCACAGAGATGGACAGCCAGCCGGGGAGCATCTGTGCCCAGGTGGGCTGATGCTCAAGCCTGGGTGTTTGTAGGTACCCCCTGGTGTGTGTGGCTGGAAGAAGCCAGGAGGGCAGCGCTGGGCAGCAGAGGGCGCTGCAGCCAGCGGCGTGGCTCCCTTGGAGCCAGGTCCTCCTGCCAAGCCTCGGTGCACACCTGGACCCCTGAAGCCAGGGATGTACTGCCTTGGGCTGACTTTGATTTCTCAGGTTGCATTTGATTTGCTCCAGGTGGCTGAGCCAGCCGAATCGCCCCAGTGAGATTGCATTCACTGAGTAGCGTGAGCAAAGGTGAGTGGCGTCCGCAGCACCTGCTGCTGTCAGCCCAAGCAGGGACCCAGGGGTCTCGGGCCCAGATGGCCAGAAGGGCTTGACTGGTGGCTTTGCTCCGCATTCGATGTCAGCTGAGTTTTCTTTAAACTGCCTTGTTGAAGCGTAAATCCTTTTTCTGGGGTCTCTGTCCTTCCACCTGAGGGTGTGGAGGTTGCTCCTTTCTGACTGTGGCAAATGAGCTATTTTCATCTTCTCTAAACCTGCGTCCCAACGACTAAGAAAATCGTGTTCAGCGTCACTTCCAGTTTTCGCGTTATGAAAATTATAGTTTTTCTTTTATTTTACAATTGTAAATTTACATTACATTGTCAAATATACATTCTTAAGTACTTAAGCACTCCCCCAGGGGCCCTCGCAAACCCCCTGTCCCCACCTCGGGACTGAAAATTATTTTGCAGTTGGAGAAACATCTGGGTGTTCGTAAAAATCTTCATCAGAAAATAAGGACTGCGGTAGAGCTCGGCGTAGAAGGGGCTGTGAACACGGAGGAGGAGGCCAAGTCCGCGCAGCTGGCTCTGGCCCAATCTGGGGCTGGGACCCAGTGACTCCTGAATCTCAGCCCAATATTTTTGCTGGAACTTGCTAGAATACGCATTATTTCCCCCAAGAGGGGGAATTTAAAATAATAATAATTTCTGATTCAGCAAAACCCAATTTTTCACCTATATGGATCATTATTTCAAAAAGAGGCCACCCAGATAGTTCGGAAATTGGTAGGGGCAGAGGCAGCATAGAAAAAGGAAGACCTCTTTGAGCGTCCGTTTTCTCATTTGTCAAGCAGCAAGAGGAATACCTAATTCTCCGAGGGTCATAGGAGCATTAGAAAAGATACCAGTATTTGTATAGAGACTGCCTAGCACACGTAGGTGTACAATAGAAGGGGTAGCTATTGTTATTTATGTAAATGCTACTCTCTGGCTATGTTTGCCATTATTTATTTTAAAATAAATATTATTTATTTTAAAATGTAATGGCAACTCTAGAAAAAAACGAATCAAAAACTGATCAGTGATCTGCTGGGGTTGAGAACAACTGGAAAAAGGTAAATGGAAGACGAACATGTTCTGTATCTTGATTGTGGTGATGCATAAACAGGCAATGACACTTGTCAAAACTCATAAAATTGTGCCCTTAAAATTAGGGTGCATTTTTTTGTTTCAAGGTAATTTCTGTTAAGTTTTACAGTTAGAGTAAATTGTGTCTGAGTCTTATAAATGTGTTAATATAGATACTGTTGATATTTTTCCAAACTTTTTATTGTGTTAAAATACACACAACATAAAATTTATCATCTTAACCATTTTTAGGTGTACTGTTCAGTAAGATGAATGCATTCATAATGCTGTGTTAAAGCTATCACCGCTACTCATCTCTAGAATTTTTTCATGTGTAAAAATGAAACTCTATATGGGGTGTGCTTTATTTTAAATTATACCTCCATAAAGTTAAACATTTTCATTGCAAAAAGTAGTACTTGTTCATGGTTGAAAATTTGGGACATCCCAAAAGATGCAATAAATACAGTTTTAAAACCTAGACTATCATTCCCGCATTATGAACCACTGTTTATATTTGGGTGAATTTCTTCCTCAGACTTTTTAAAAATATGTAGGTGTCTTTTAAAAAACAAACAAACAGCATTTGAATTGTAACCTCCTTTCCATCCAATTTAGTTGTAAACACTTCCCTTGGGATTAAAGCTCCTTCTACAACATCCTTTGATGCCAGCAGATCTGGGCGAGGTGCCCTGGAGGGTCCAATCTGTCCCCTACTGCTGGACATTTAGAGTGTGTCCAATTTTCCCTCCCAGACCATGCAGGCAAAGACATCCCCGGAGACACATCTCGTACATCTTGGGAGGGGAATTGCTGAGCCCCAAGGTCTCTCTTCCCTGGTAGTCCCCGCCCTGTGTAAATCTGTAGCAGGGCGGGATGTGGCAGCTTGGTCCTGGAGTTCAGGAAGCTGCTGAGGGCAGCACGGCTTCCTCCGGACACCTGCGCCTCTGAGACTTGTGTTGGAGCAACAGCCACCAGCAGGCCCCCACGTGCTGTAGGAGCTGGGATTGGAACCCTCTTTTGCTGCCGGTTCAGGACTGTCCGGGCCTGAGCCCTGCCGCTGGCTAAGCTCCCCCAGCCGGGTAGGGCCCGGTCGTGATGACAGGAGCTGAAGGATGGACGTGGCTGCAAAGCTGGTTTCTGCTATGGGAATTCTCTTTTCCCTCTGCTCTCCCTCATCACAGCAGAAACGGGTTCCAAGAGAAAATGTGCTGCCTGGTCAGTGTAGCTGTCTTGTGTAAGGATGCAGCCACACT